ATTTGTTTTATTAGTAATGAATCTGCGTCCCCACGTGTTTGCCGCATGTTATATCAGTTCGAGCTGTCAGAATGCAGTTGGCAGTATAATCACTTTCAAAAATGAATGATTGTATGTCATTTTGCCATATTTTGTAGAGATCATGGTAATTTTTAGAAATGTAGGCTACCATTTTTTTTTTAATTTTGTAGTGATTTCCGAACTTCCAGGTCACTAGGACCGAAAATGTTAGTTCAGTAGAATTTTATGCCTGGTTCATGTTTCTGACGGGGCGCTTACTTTCCTAACTTATAATTTTATAAATTTTCTCTGTTTTTCTAAGAGAATTTCATAACAGTACCTTGTAATAATTATCGACTGCCTTGTTTTCAATTCTTTCAAATTAATTATTCATTATCATCATCTCATCTTAATTGAAGATCTACAATCTCTGCAGTTGATGTATAATTTACTGTCACTACCATATTTCAGTTGTTTTTAAATTTATACGTACTCTTCCAAACAGAATGTTTGCATGTAGACCTGTTGGTAGGCAACAGGTTCATAACACGCAACAATGGGATAATTGCGAGCGGTGTTCTCTACGTGGTCCGTGCAATAGCTACGTGAAGCAACAACAGATGAACTACTGGGAGACCAACGAAATTGCCGACTGTTTGGAAATTCAGTTCACGCCGCATGACCTGTGCGACGATAACCATGAACGGTAGGTAGAGGCTAGAGTTCAAGCTCTGCTGGAAGCCGTGGATGAAAACCCCCCTCTAAGGATCAGACCTTGTGACGTTCAGAAATTAATAAAATCACTGGACTTAAAAAAGGCCCGTGGAATTGACGGCATCCCAAATGAATGCCTCAGGCACCTTCCAAGGCGACCATTGGTTCACCTAACTCACTTATTCAATCACTGTTTTCGGCTCTCTCATTTTCCAAATACTTGGAAAGAAGCAAAAGTAATAACTTTACCTAAACCCGGCAAAGACCCGAAATTCCCGCAAAATTTACGTCCGATCAGCCTCCTGTCCACGACAGGATAACTATTCGAAAAAGTGATTTTCAAATTGCTCCGTAAACATATTGAAGAAAGAGGCCTGCTCAACGCAAGTCAGTTTGGTTTCCGTGCACGTCACAGCACGACATTGCAATGTATGAGGCTGGCGGACCACGTGACTCTTAATGTCAACAAAAGAATGTCTACGGCTGCGGTGTTCTTGGACATCGAAAAAGCCTTTGATACCACGTGGCACTCAGGCTTGCTGTATAAGTTATCCAAATTGCAATTCTACGAGTAGAACAGTTTGACCAAACTTATTGGGTCATTTCTCTCTCAACGTAAATTCAGGGTTTCGGTTGAAGGATAAATGTCAACGCCAAGAGAAATGCAAGCAGGAGTGCCACAAGGTTTGGTACTGTCCCCTGCCCTTTTCAATCTGTACATTAATGATGACCCCCAAACACATGGTGTTCACCTGGCCCTCTTTGCGGACGACATCTGTCTGTATGCTACAGATCGCAAGGAGGGTTTTATTGTCAGAAAACTCCATCGCGGTCTCAGCTCAATGGAGACCTGGTTTGAGCGCTGGAACATTAAAATTAATGAAGATAAGACTTGGGGGGTCAATTTCTCTCGTAGTCGTCCACCGCCTGAGTCTAGTCTTACTCTAAAGGGACCAAATATTTCATTTGTAAATAGCGCAAAATACGTGTATCTAGGAGTAATCTTCGATAGGAGAGTTACATGGAGATTTCACATAGAAATGATCGAAGCCAAGGCCTACAGAACATTCATTAGAGTATATTCCATATTCAAAAGTGAGCGTTTGAGTGCTAATATTAAACTGACCCTCCACAAAACTCTCATTAGATCCGTAATGACTTATGCTAGTCCCGCCTGGGAATTTGCGGCAGACACTCATCTAGTGAAATTGCAGCGCCTGCAACACAAGGTTCTCCGCACCATTGGCAATTTCCGAGGCGCACACCGGTCGCGATTTGCACATGGCGTTCAGAATCCCGTACATATATGACTATATAACAGTGTTATGCATGCAATAAGCAGAAGTCATACAAAATCATGAAAATGAGAAAGTTCGCAACATCGGGAAAGGCGAAGCCCGACACAGAAAGTATAAGAGGCTTAAACATGGCGGCGGTCAGACATACGACCATTCAAGTGACTAGACAGACCCGACCTCTCGTCAGAGAGGGTGCCCCAAATGGACAGGACAGTAACTTTCATATAAGAAAAAAACGAAAAGAAAAAATATCTGGTGATGAACCCCAGCTGGGGCTCGACACCAAGACAGACATACTGACTGACCGTCAGTCGCAATGTGACTTTGACTTTGACTTTGACTTGACTGTTGGGAGAGGTGTTTTCTGTGCCGTCAGTGCCGATGTATTTTAATCAGGACAGGTCTAAAATTTAGCTAGTTTTGAGACAGTCGCCGGCCAATAACGATGTGAACACGGAAGGTGAGGCAGCTACGGTGTTGCAAGCCGTTACCAGGCGACAGCTGGTGAAGATAAAGCAGACTGAGAAGTTTAGCACGTGCCGTAATGAACTGCAGGCTGTGTGAACTAGCATTAGCGCTAAGTTACTTCCAAGAGCGAGGTCACACCGAAGGAAGTGACAACCGTAACTTCCGAGATACGTCACAGATTTGAGGCAGGCAACTGGTTCCAAATTCACAGGCGCACACTGAGGAGACTTATGTTTGATTAGTTGCTCATATCATCTCAAGTGGCTCTGTTCGTCCGACTTAATGCGTGATTGTAATTTCTAATTTCGTGCGCTTCTCTTCTGCAGTGTCAGGTAATAGTACTGATCCTGTCATAGTATGGGGGTGGTTGAGACTACGCAAGAGGAGAGGACAGGAGAAAAAGAAAAGCTGAATGCATCCGTTCTTCAGCGACAATTTCAACTAAGGTGATTATATTGTTTCGAAAGAACTTAACCCTGATCGAGAACTGTTCAAGCCATTTTACTGAAAGAGCATTGAAAGCATTTCTTTATTAATGGATCTTGTAGGACCTCAAATTCGAAGAAAATATATGAATACCCGTACAGCTGTGTCAGGAGAAGAAGGATTACTGATTATTATGTTCTGCAGATATCTAAACAAATGCCTTACCATTGCTAGACGTTTTGTTTCACATTGTTAGTTACAATCAGTTTCTGTCATCCGGGTCAATAAATGCTGGTCGATATTTCCTAATTTCCGCTATTCCGCCTCCCAAAAAGTTATCGCTGACTGGGACTTATCCTATACTTCTTCCAGAGATGTCTTATGATCAACGGTGGATGTTTCACTCTGTCCTGCGGAAGACTGCTGGTCACTTCCTGTATCTTTCAATATCTCATCCGTTAAATTCAGAGCTTACATTTTATTTTAAACTTACATTTTTGCCTAGAAGTCATTGGTTTCATGTCTGGGGATAGTCTATGTTAAAATTCTGCATCTGGGTCTGGAGTTTCGATTGCGTTTGTTGCTTCATGTAGTCCATGAAGCAAGTTATCAACCGGATCCAAGGCGATTAACCGACTTTCTTTGCCAAGTAAAGGCTACTGGCAGTCGTCTTGGTTGTTCTAAGGACAAGAAGCTTATATCGCTGTGTGCTACTGTCTATTTCGGAGATTTCGGCAAGAACAGCAGCGGGTCTGGTTCAGGGCCTCTACCCTCAGAGAGATGCTGGAGAAGAAAGAACTGCATACCCCATTTCCATCTTCCACACCGCTGAATGACAGCCGTGAAGTACATTAAATCATTTCCATCAAAAATAAATTTAATGAGACTTCACCCTAGAAGAATGCTGACTAACAAACTGCGTATGAGTAAATACAGGCTCTCGCGTGCCCGGAAAATTGTAGAATGTTCATTTGTCCTACTAAATGCCAAGAAGAAACTGTGAATGAAGCCATTAAATCATCCATTTCACTCCAAAATTTCATTCGAATCGGGGAAGGGCTCTTTGAGAAGGAGCTGAAAACTACACAGTAAATGAATCAAGTCATCATATTATAATTGAAGTTGATGATGATAATGTTGGAAGGCAAAGATTATCGTGTGTACAGCGCCGGCGAAATCAGCTGAAAGATTATTTCTTAACGCTAGTAGGAGCAATTCCATCTCAGTGGACTTACATTAATTGAATTCAACTGATAATTTTAGAGGAGGTATCATTAGAATGATCAAGTCAAGGAGGATGAGGTGGGCAGGTCATGTAGCACGAATGGGGGAGGCGAGGAATGCGTATAGGATATTGGTGGGAAAGCCAGAATGAAAGAGACCACAAGGAAGACCAAGGCGTAGATGGGTGGACAATATTACAATGGATCTTAGAGAGATAGGATGGAATGGTATGGATTGGATAAATCTGACTCAGGATAGGGACCAGTGAAGGGCTCTTGTGAACACGGTGATGAACCTTCGGGTTCTATAAAATGCTGGGAAATTCTTGAGTAGCTGCAGAATTGGCGGCTCCTCAAGAAGGGCTCAGCTCCATGAGTAAGTAAGTAAGTAAGTAAGTAATTTTAGAGCAGGAAGACTAGTCTGATTGCTGACTTGTATCACACAGCATGGGACATATTTTTATTTTATTATTCTGCTCGTGTTTCTGAAGCAGATCTCTTCTGTGTTTGGGTCTCATTGTAAGTTCTGATTATGAAAAACATACATAAATACCAGACTTCATCTCACGAGAAATTCCTTCCCAAGCAAAATCTATTTTGTTCCGTCTAGCATAGTCCGGGTGGCGTTTGTCGTATTTACCAGGTTCCCGCTCATTTAACGTCAAAAAAATAAAATTATTAGCATCATCAACCTATATATTCATATACAACCAGACATGCGTGTGATTGTGTGTGGAAGCAGTAGGTGTGTGATACGGGCACAAGGCTGATTAAAGTCGTTGAAATTCGTAACTGAAATTGACCAGTTAATTTGAAATATAATAAGTGTGGTGTAATAAGTTTGCTCATAGTATTTATTCTTCTTGTCTAGGTGCCGGCTCAAATTCTGCCAAAAAAGAACTGCTAATTTCGCCTACAAGACGACGTTTCAGGAGGCATTTCGGGACCAAGGTACGTGGATGTTATCAGTTGCTCGCTCACTTGCAGTTCTCTCTCTCATATTGTGTTATTTTTTGGAAATATGGTGAGATCTACTTACGAAAGAGTTAAAATATTTTATTGTGCTCACATTCTGACAGAAATTTACCATGTACATTAGTTATTTTTCTTGTCTCACCGCCTCACGTACGTCGCTGTCGATTGATAATAGTTGCCACGAAAGCTGGGGGAAGATGCCTACGCATTTGCAGTGTTGAATGTCACACAGTTGTCTTCGCAATATAAACTTGTAGTTCTGTGCTCTCAACTACTTGCCTTCACCCACTCTGTAAAAGTGATCTTGCCATCTCTTAAACTTCATCACCGACCTCACGTTCTTCCCGTATACCATTTATCTCTCTCTCTCTCTTCTCCTCCGCTCTCTGCACAAATGTATGTATGTATGTATGTATGTATGTGTATATTTTTATATGAAACGGAACGTTGCGGTCGAGTGTTTCATATTCTTGATTCTCATGAGGAAGAATCTGGTTCCATATGTCGACCTGGAATGCAGCTGTGCTAGAATTCTACGTTCAGGAAAATGTCAGTAAGTTCCCTAAAATTAGTTGACAGATGGATTATTACACATATTTTCTAATTCGTAGTTTACCTATCCAATTATTCATAGCAGTATATTCTGAAAGTTCTTAAGTAAGAAGAAGGAATTGGGTGTGTGTGTGTTTTTACGTGAGGTGGACAAAATAATTGAACACTAAGAAACTGAGGAATAGAATTTGTGTTAGCCACATTGAAATAGCTTCAGTTGGCAAGGCTGAGTATTGATCTTGCTTTTGTTTTCATTCTCTTGTGCTCGTGAAAGTGCATTAGTGACTGTGTCGACTGACATTCCGTGTGAAAGGATCGGAAAATGGTATACTTGACCAATTTTGAAAGAGGACGGATCCTTGGTGTGTGTTTAGCTGGAGAATCTGGAACAAATCTGACACATTGTTAGGTGTATCAAGAGCTACAGTGGTTAAGTTGTTTCGGCATACACAAATCATGGGAAGACAGCATCAACAAAGAGGAACAGTGTGCGAAAATCAACAGTGACCGAAAGAAATCGTAGTATATTGAGAAGGATTGTTTCGAGAAATCACACAGCTACTGCAGCACAGGTGACAGGAGAGCAGAACCGAATATTAATTTTGAAGACCCTGTTTCCAAGAAAACTGTTGAACTGAGCTTCACAAAACCAATATCCACGGTAGGGCTCTAATTGCTAAACCTCCTATTGCTAAGAGAAATGCTCAGATGTGCAAAGTATAAAGCCTGGACATCAGACAATTAGACAACAGGAAACGCTTAGTATGATCAGATAAGTCGTCTTTCACGCTGTTCCTTACATCCATCAGGAAGAGTTTACGTTCGGAGAATACCCAGAGAAGCCTACACTCCGGATTGCCTGGTTCCAACATTGAAACCCGGGGTCGGGCTTCTGTGATGGTTTGGGCAGCAACGTCGTGGTACTGTATTCGGTTGGTCCAGTTATTACCCTTCAAGAGGAATTACTGCAAGGGAGTTCGTGGACAGGTTGGGTAATCAGATGAATCTCATTACCCGGATGTTATTTCCCTGCATCATTCAAGCACTCTGGTCAGTTCTGGAGACTAGGGTGGGAACAGGGTCCCCCCTCCAACATCCATAAAGCAACTTGAAGATGTTCTTGAAGAAGAACTGTGTAAAATTCTCCTCCAAAATTTGTACTAGTATGAGGTACGAACTGCATTTGTATATAGTATTCAGAAGAAATCCAGTCTCTGAATTTTTAATTTGTATAGTAAATATAGAGTAAACAAACGAAATAATTGTTTAATGCACATATGTATATGAAACCTGAGTTTACTTGAGGGTTAATGAACATTACGCAAAATGAGAAAGTAATTCGTCGGTCCAGTTATAAAATTTTTGCTCGCAACCGTTGATAATTCTGCCGTAGCCAGTAGGAAGGATCCTTGCTACTCAGTTACGCCGTTACGCCTTATGCGTATGCTGCATAACACACACCAGTAGATTTCGTCATCAGTCATGTTGATTGCAAACTTATACGTATTTCCCAATATCACATACTTAGAACGCGCGCGCTCGCATATACACAAGGACGCAAGCACGTATATGTACTTAACTGGGCAATAACTTTTGTCACGTGAAATATCTCTGACTACTTCATGGAATGATTTCAGTATTGTATTACTGCTGAGGGGTTCACTTCGAGCATCTAATATAAAAAACTATAAATTAAGATTAATAATAAGGAGCGATACGACAGAAAACCAGCAGAAGCCTGACCTTGTGCATTCAGTATGTCATTGAGTTTGTCTCTGTCTACTCTACAGCGCAATCTATGGAAAAATTGCAAAGAGTCGTTTCAAAAAGTCAGGTGATCTTGATATCCCCAAAACGACTCCATATCGAAAAAATCTGTTCCGCTCAAGTTATAAGCTCTTTGTCAGCATGTAAGTTTTGTTGGAAACATTTTTTGATAACATCAAAATAAGAGTCATATTTCGGGTGGCAAAAGCTATTGCCCCAGTTTAAATAACGTTGCGTATGTGCCAAAATGAAGCTGTCAAATCTTCCTGAGAGGGTGAAATTTAATCAATTTAATCAAGACTGTTCTAAAGGTTTTGCGATAATCGCGGTCCGTTTTATCAAATAAACCATACTGAATCTTGGTTAGCTTTCTCAGAAATATTAAAACCATTTCTCTTCGCTTTTATGTTTGAACAAAAATTTAATTTTTTATTAAATTTTGACCTAGCGACCAGTGACCTCTCGTTTCATACGGCTTCAACATGAGATAAAAATGTTGGGGTAAAGCGCTCTTCTTGCTCTCAGTACACAGCAGTACAGTATTCTCATCTGTCATTAACAATAAAGGAACAATAAAAAAACTTTCTTCATCATTAAAATTGGAATTTAACGAAGGTCGCGAAATCATTCAATTAAATGACGCGTTACCTCCCATGCATAACGACTTGTCGACCTGTTATAAAGTCACGATAGAGCTCCACCGTTAATGTTTCCTCTCTTACGCATGAGACGTCTCGCTTCCACGCATAGTCTGGATGTATCTTGTATTTAATTACAACGGCTCTGAAAAAGAAAAACTCCTGTCATCTCTAAATCGTTAAAAATCGCTGTTTGTCGCTTTCTGAAAACATAAATTACATTTTACCATGGAAATTAGTGGAAAAAAGATTTATTTCCATAGATCTCAGCTTGGGAAAATTTAAAAGAATAGCACACCATTTGTGAAGCATAATTTGAGACCTTAGTAAAGCGACAGACAAATTATGTTGACATTTTGCATTTTCTTTTTCTTCTTCTTCTGCTTCTTCATGCTCTTCTTCTGCAGACCATTACCTATTCTGAGACTCAGCAATGTCCTAATTTCTTTTAGTTTGCCAGTTGATTCCATAACTCACAAATTTATTTTAATACCATACTTCCATCCATGGCTAGGTCTCCCAAGTATTCTCTTTTCTTACTTTTCTTCAATATTTTATATCTTTTATCTATCCTCTGTCTGTTATGAGACCCACGAATATAATAATTTTTATTTAATAACTCTAACGGTGGGAAATACAAATATATTTGGCTGGTCTCAAATATTATTTAGAATGTAAAGAAATGTTCTGACCTCAATGTACTAATCTTAACAAAGGAAATAATTTTCCTTGTTGTTTTAGACGAAAGTGATTAGGATTTTATAACTACAAATCAATAACATCTGTTAAAGCAACATGAGAACGAAGCACAGCGAAATTTCCCTAACATACCATCCCCTTAAAACTCCGTACCTATGTGGCTCGGATTGCGCTTCCAGTCATTTTAGTGTAATGCAGCCCCACACTCAGAAACCTCACCTGTCCTCTAGTAGTGACCATGCTTCGTTTTTACCTAACCCTCTCTAAAATGACCTTCCTATAACGCAAATTCCCGTCTCGGGCCTCTGGGCTCACCAGTACCAAGAAGAACAATGCAAACTACCTAACTGAAATACAGCTCTCTCCTTCTGGCGTTTTAAAGCCAGAAGAGTAGTTGTGTAATATATGTACTACACACTTACATGTCTATGTATTTTGGCGTGTAGACCCGTTGCTAGGCAGTGAATGTGTAAACATCGGCGGTTGCTAGATAACGCCGACAAAACACAAGGAGCCACCAATAGAGGAACAGTGTTTTCAATGCACGCGGACGGACCGTTGCCATGCAACACATCTTCTGTAACATTACGGGACAGTAGTGAGTGAAGATCACGTGACATGTGACTCAAGCTGCCTCTTGCAAGTAATTTAAGGGCAGTAAATTTGTGCAGTGCCATTGTTTCGTGATACATATACGAGTATATCGTCATTACCGTACAATAATACTCAATTTCTCACCTTTATTCAGAGCATCCCTATAACAGACAACTTGTGGGTGGCACGATCTGTGCTCTTCTGGAGAAGTTTCGTTGCATTCTCATAAGAAAGCGTGGGTGGCACGATCTGTGCTCTTCTGGAGAAGTTTCGTTGTATTGCGCATAAGAAAGCGTGGGTGGCACGATCTGTGCTCTTCTGGAGAAGTTTCGTTGTATTGCGCATAAGAAAGCGTGGGTGGCACGATCTGTGCTCTTCTGGAGAAGTTTCGTTGTATTGCGCATAAGAAAGCGTGGGTGGCACGATCTGTGCTCTTCTGGAGAAGTTTCGTTGTATTGCGCATAAGAAAGCGTGGGTGGCACGATCTGTGCTCTTCTGGAGAAGTTTCGTTGTATTGCGCATAAGAAAGCGTGGGTGGCACGATCTGTGCTCTTCTGGAGAAGTTTCGTTGTATTGCGCATAAGAAAGCGTGGGTGGCACGATCTGTGCTCTACTGGAGAAGTTTCGTTGCATTGCGCATAAGAAAGAGGACGCAACAACAAAATGGAAAATTAAAGTTATAAGACGAGTAGCTTCACAATTTGTACTCTTCACTAAACATTATTA